GGAGGGGGGGGGAGATGGGGTATAGATAATCTCGTCGAACATAGTTAAGATAAGGGTGCACTGTGTTTGGGGGGGAAAAAACCCAACATGAGTGTCTCAATCATGATGTACCGGATTTATCGATAACTTGTATACGTTCATGGATTGATTATCTTGGTTGATTGATTGATTGATTATCTTTGTTCGAAATCAATCAATCAATCAATCAATCAAACAATCAATCAATTAATCAATCAATCAATCAATCAATCAATCAATCAATCAATCAATCAATCAATCAATCGACCACTCAATCAATCGATTGACTATTCAATCAATCAACCAATCAATCGATCAATCAATCGGTCAATCAATCAATCAATCAATCAATCAATCAATCAATCAATCAATCAATCAATCAATCAATCGATCAATCAATCAATCAATCAATCAATCAATCAATCAATCAATCAATCGGACAAACAATCAATCAATCGATACAGAGAATAAAGATTAGCATAAAAACCACTCACTCTACACACCCTCACCATGTCACGTCGTCCAGACTTGTCCGTACCCGATCTGAAGAGAGAGAAAAGTGGTTGATTTCACTTAAACCCACCCTGCAATCCAACGAGAAACGTCGGTCCAAGCCCCCGAAGAGAACGGCAGTAAGTCTTGAGAAACTAGTCCGTCACAGTGACAAAAAAAAAACACTCACTCTACACACCCATAGAGCGATGAAGGTGGGGATTGACGGACTGCATGGACTACGCATTTTCATTTTAGAGTAATGAACCTGTTAAAAAAAACAGACCACATTCATGCGCAGACGTCACGGCCCAAGCCGATCAATCTTCATAAACGATAAATCTAAGCCTCTGGTGTTGCTGCGACAGAGTATGGGGGCAGTTCATGTGCGCAAACTGTATTACGTGCGCCTTGGAGACTGCGTGGAAGAGGGAGGGAGAGAGGAGAAAGATAGGAGAGAGGAGGAGAGAGGAAGAGGAGAGAGGAGGAGGAGAGAGGAGGAGGAGAGAGGAGGAGGAGAGAGGAAAGAGGAGGAGAGAGAATGAGAGAGAGGGAGAGAGAATAAGAGAAAGGGGGGGAGAGAAGAAGAGAAGGGGAGAGACAAGGAGAGAGGGGGAGAGACAAGGAGAGAGAGGGGGAGAGAGAATGAGAGAGAGGGAGAGCTGTCTCTTATACACATCTAGATGTGTATAAGAGACAGCTCTCCATGTGTGTGTATGTGTTTGTACCTATGGATATCCATGTGTCGCGATTTGTGCCTGTGGATATCCACGTGTCAGAACTTCCCATTGTGAGCTACAGAAGCTGGGTTAATTGCGTAAGACGCTTTTGGAGAGCTGCAAAAATAGAAGGGAGGGAGGGAGGAAGGGGGTTTGTGGACAACAGTGGGCACAAGGTGCGATTCTGGTCATGCTGCTTTGAAGGGAAAAGAACGTCCAAGCAGTATGACCAGGAGTGAACACGGACTTGGGACTGCCAGGCCCGGGCTGTTCTGTTCTGAAACTCAGGTCGTACTGAGGCCATGCCGAGGCCATATGTAATGCCATGCTGAAGGCTCGGACAGAACGGCCTGGCCCTTGGGCACGTATGTTGGCCTCAGTACGACATCCTGATTCCTAGGAGAGAATGGACCGGGCCTGGCAGGAAAACATGCCCATAAATAGGAGAGAATGGACATAAATAGAGTGGGTCTGGAAGGAAAACATGCCCATAAATAGAGGGGGTCTTCCAAAACGTTTGAGCATGTGACAACCACCACCCGGACCGTTTTGCTTTGCCATGTTGCTCTTCTCGTGTCAGAAGCTCATCCACTAGGCATCAGTCACGTACTGAGTAAGTAAGGCTAGGACGGAGCTATCGCAGTCAAGAATAAAGGGCTATGGCAGTAGTTCATGTTTGACCCATCAGTCACGTACTGAGTAAGTAAGGCTAGGACGGAGCTATCACAGTCAAGAATAAAGGGCTATGGCAGTAGTTCATGTTTGACCCACCTGCGTTGTTTCGGTGTCATTCAGTGTGTCGAGAAAGAATGTATGGTCTCTGTCTCCGAGTCTGTGTGTGTGTGTGTGTCTGTGTGTGTGTGTCTGTGTGTGTGTGTGTGTGTGTGTGTGTTTTTGTGTGTGTGTGTGTGTTGTCATGTACGCTCGCTGTACAAAACACCACACACACACACGCAAAAAAAAAAAAAGCACGACTGTGCCGAACTGTTTTGTTTGTTGGTTTGTTTGTTTGTTTGCGTGTGTGTGATGCTGTGTGTGTGTGTGTGTGTGTGTGTGTGTGTCTGTGTGTGTGTGTGTGTGTGTGTGTGCGTGTGTGTGCGTGTGTGTCTGTGTGTGTGTATCTATGGCTATGCATATCCAGGCTACTGTGTGTTATGTGAGAAAGAAAAGGGAGAAACATCGACTCTGTTCGTGTCAGTAATCAGGATGCCAGCAAAAAGGCTTACCTGGGCAAGGACAGATACGCATTCTCTCCCCTTTGCAACTCTCTCCCGGCATGCAAGTCTGCAAGCCATCACAACCGAACACGTGGAGACCGGAGTAACCTGAGTTAACCTACAGGGAACTGTGAGGGTACAGGTCCTCGATAATGTTCAAGGACGTATCTGACGAGTATTCTGGCTGCAATTACTGCCACATTTCAGTTAAAATAGACATTACTATGAGTGGGTCTTGAGTCTCACTTGTCAGTGTTGTCGCCAGTGGGAATAGGAAACAAGCCTAAACAAGGCCAGATCCACAGAACTTAAGGTGCTTTTCTGAATGAATCTGGTTGTGGTTGAAATCATTTTGCCTGAAGTAGCGGC